CTCCTCCTCCTCCTCCTGCTGCCGTCCTGCTACTGCTCCTGCTCCCGTTCCTGCTCCTGCTCCTTTTGCTGCTGCCACGACTACCACCATCACCACCGCCGCCGTCACCGCCACGACCACCACTACTAGCACTACTCCTGGAGGAGGCGAAACTCTCAACAACAGTCGTCTTCGTAAATGGCTCCAGTCTCCGCATCTTCGACCCCTAACCCTAAGCGCTTCAACAAGGATGAGGGCGCTTCTCCAAAGCCTCATAGGCACCCATCCAGGAACGAAGGGCGAGTAGCGGAGCCCATGAAAGAACCCTTCAAGGACGATGGCTTCGGGTTCAGGGTTTGGCTCTTTGTTGGAGCCCTGACATGTAGGGACCTTTTGTAAGGCAGTTTAAGGTTTAGGGTTTAGGGTTCCGAAGCCGAAGGTCTGCCAGGGAGGCGGTCTGAGCGACATAGATGGACCCGACCACAGCCAACGAACCTCGGGGAGGGGGGGTTGAGGGGGCTTGGAGTTTAGGGTTATGGTTTAGGGTTTCGGGTACTCGGGGTTTAGGTTTATGGACTTATCGGGTTCAGGGATTGAAATTTAAGCTTGAAAGTTAGTTGCTGTTCAAGGGTTGAGAGTAAGTATCTACGCATGTTTGGAAAACCTCTGCTTCTTGCATGTATTTAAGCTTTCGGAATGCACTCGGGCATTGCGGCTTGAGCGCCGTAGTCTCTGGCCTTAAAACCCAAAGTTCTACACTCTAAACCCTATGCCCTGAACTCGGGGCGTAGCCGAGGCAAAGTGCGTCCATGACGTCCTTTCGTGGACGGCATTCTGAGAGCCGCTGTGAGGATTGCTGTCTCCGTTTTCGAGCTGCAGGTCCGGGCTCCGGGAAACAGGGCTGTATGGTTTCAGACATTTGGGTTCAGGGCTTCAGGCTCAGGGCAGAATGTACCTATGCCGCTGAATCTGATGATTGCCAGCTGAAATCCTCCGGACCATTTTTCACTAGGCGGCTCATGATAAAGAGGCGAGGAATGATCAGGGTCACGATGGCGACGACTCGCAAGCAAGGCGAGATTCCTCTGACCTCAGTACTGGTCTGAGGGTTGTGGTTCAAGGTAAAATGGGGCTGCTGCTACTGTTGCTCTTGTTCTATGATGCAACCCGGTAGTAGTCGTCGCACTAGCAGTGGTCGTCGTCGTCGTAGAAGTCGTAGT